TTCCATTATTAACTTTGTGTATCAAGTACTTGATAAATACTAAATTTTCGCAGATTACATTCTAAATTAGACTCTTCAAATTGTCGAGTACAATGTATAGAATTGCGTTGATGCGAACAGATAGGTGGAGGGCGACAATTTACACAATAATCTTGTAACATCTGCGTACACGGTACACAATATATATTGATTTCCATAGTCGTGAATGTGACTGATAATCCGAGTCTTGAACTTTATCATTCAATTCGTTTCAAATGTATTTAATCCTTCAAATATCCATGTAGTTGGTTTCCAGCAGTCTTGAATTTGTCCATATCATAGTTTAAGCAAAAATTTACATGTAAATATCTGATTTCTACCATATAAATTCTCTGATATAAATTTAATACCAGTTTATATAATTGCCACTCTTCGCGCCAGCCATTGTTTATTGTTAACCCGCATTTCCTTCCCACCCGCAACATTCCTTTAGAGCAAAAGAGCCAATCACAATCAACTGCTCAACAGCCTGAACCAGGGCCACTGTGAGGGCCGCCCGAGCTTGGGCCTGGGGACGAGGATGCTACCAAATCCTGATAAAAACTTCCGGCTGTACTAGCCAGGATGGCGTGGCCTGACGTGAGCGAGTTAAAATTTTCGTGGACGTCAAACAATAAGGGAAACGACTAGAGTTACGCTTCTGGTATAACTTCCTATTCTGTACCTGAGTCATGCCACAACCTAACCCGCGAACAGGCATACTCTGGGAACGAGATTGGTGGAAATTGGGAAAACAAGAAATCACACAATTTCGAGTTTTCCCAATTTCCACGAGTGTTGATATAACTGTATATCAATATGGAAAAAAGTTTTATATTTGTTTTATAATATAGCACAAAGAATTAATGTAAAGAAAGAAATTTTCCGACGTTTCCGTGTTGACATTGAGTTATATCAACATGGCTCTTAGCCAATCAGCGTTCAGAATTTACAAATGCTATATTATAATATAATTTTTAATGCAAAATATAATAAAATAAAAAAAATAATAAATACCCTCACAGAGCCTGGGCCACTGTTATTAACATTATGGGCTTATAACCCACATTTCAGAATCTTTTAGAGATCAGCGGCGCAAATAGACAAAACTATTCTGTGACGTCATGTAATAAAAAATATAAACAATGCATGACGTTTAGTGGCGTGATCGAACATGTTTTTTTCATTGGCTTTGCACTTGAAAATTTACGTAAATAGAGGCTGTGTGGACGTCCTGTAGATAATATTTGAATCAATATAAAATTTAATTTTAAAAATCCACTTGTACACAGTCGATGAGTATGGCTTGATGACAGCATAAAAACAGTGTTACTCTAAACCTGACTACATAAATGTCACAGATAATGTAGCCGTTTCCTTCGATACTGCTGGAACAAAACGCTCTGTCACAAATTTAAGTGACTCGGCAAACGCTGTCGTCGCTGTGTACGTAAATTTATAATCGAAATATGAAGTGCATTTAAATCACTAGTCTAAGCTGGGAGAAATTGAAATGGAAACGTACTATATCGAGTCAGATTACGAATATCTGCCAGGACTGTTCAGCTCTCTGACAGAAGTATTGGTGGAAAATAGACAATATTATTCGGGAATAAACGATTGTAGCAAATCCAGGGAATTCTCGCAGTGTTTTGAGGATTTAATAGAGATCACAGGAAAAACGTTAAAATTGCTTCTGGAAGTCGCTGCCGTTTCACCACTGTTTGATTACGATCCCAACACTAAGGGCAATGGATACAGGACCATAGTCAGGGTGGTGGAGATGTGTTTCCGAAGGCTGCATTCTCTGGGGGAAGATTTTCAAAAGAGCAGAGCCGGCTTTCTCTTTCGTTCGGATCATTATTATAAAGAAATTGTGAGCTATTTAGATTTATCCAAAGGCTTATTTAAGTTCTTGGAGTTTGCAAAGCTTCTGTTGGAATGGAGTGACGGAAATGACCTGTTCCCCCCTGAAAATTGTTATGATGCTAAGACAATGACTGAGTGTCACTTACATGAAATGGAGAAAGAGTGTTTCTATGGCCGACGTCTTGGCTTTCATGTGAGTATATTGTATGTGCTTGTTAACTTGGAGATGGCAGATGGGATGTCATTGATTATGACTTGTGGTCCCTAATATTAATCATGCTAATTTCATTTCTGGTTTTATTGTTTTCATTTTAGGGGTTAGGTGTCAATTGGGACGAGAGTCCTGTTCCTTTCCCCTGTCACGATTTGTATCTGTCTTTATTTGTCTTTAATTAATTAGTTTGTATCGTGTATAAAGTGACAAATTCATTATATTATATTATATTATATTATTATTGAACAATGCCATAGGGGTGGGGAGGACACGTCCTCCAAGTTCTCTTCAAAATGAATTTTTAATTTGTCCAAATTCAATAAGGAAAGTGAGGTGGGTTGGGAGTATGTTTGTGGGTGCATTCCAGCTATTTACTAGATAAACTGAATAAATTCAGTCTTGTAGTGTGAATATAAAAGGTGCATGGTATTAAAGGCCATGTATGTAAAGTCCGTAATGTAAACAAACGATTTGTTTACATTTGGAACTCAGTGCTACAGTTGTAAAATATGATTAGATATATATTATACTGAATTTTTTTAACACTCTTCTGGTTTGCTATATATGCTTGTAAATGAATACAGATTAGGGATTCAATTCAAGAAAGTTTGGAAGGTGCAAAATCGGGTCCCGACCATTGAAATGTAGGCCTGTGCAGAACGGACTTTACATGATCTTTAAGGATCATGAGGGACCAAGCTGAAGTTTTGTCTGTGGGGGGAGTGTGGATCTTTTCTGGAATGACCCATTTTTAACCTAAGCTACTTTAATTAAGTTAATTCATTTGTTGAAAAATGTGGCAACAAAGTACTTGATGGTAGCTAGATTTTAGTGATTCCAATCCAACAGCATTGCAGTCCAAGTGTTGCTGAACACTTCCTATTGAATGATGGCCAAACCACTCTAAATAATATACTATGTCCATTCTTTAATTGATGCAATCTATTAAATTTCCATTAATTGGTTTTTGAATGCTTTTTAAAGATTTACCATGTATACCATCAATGTATTAAAAACTGAACTCTTACCAATTACCATTATTGGTTATAATTATGAATGATGTTTACCATCATGATGATGTTTACCATGATAGTTACCATTAAAGTGGAAGTCAAGTCCGTTATGCACATCGGTTCTGCTCATAACAATGTGAGGACCCTCTCATGTAAACATTGCCCAAATTTCAAATGTTTCGAATTTTTCTGAACATAAACTCTATTTCATATTCATTTAGAAGCATAGCGAGTCAAAATGGTGTTGGATATTCAGACAGTACATCATATTTTAAGAAATACAGCAGTTCAAAATGTAAACAAAACATTTGTTTACATTACAGACTTGACTTCCACTTTAATGAGGTATTTTCCTCAATTTCCTGTGCACAAGAAAAAATAAAGTATGTACCATTAATGGTCAATATTAAACATCATCGTTTTTACTACTTTACCATATGGGAAATTTACCAGTAATGGTAAGAATGGTAAGAGTTCAGTTTTTACATTAAAAACCCATCAACAGAAATTTAATTTTTTCCTGTGTGAGAGCTTTACTTCACCTCCAGGCTGCCTGGACAAGATGCTAAGTAAGTGAACAAATGTTTCTGACAAAGCATGTAAAATAAAGATGTTTACTGCAACATTCCATCTACAAAACTAGCTTATTCAAGAAAATGCCCCTATATAATGTCAAAAAAATTGTCCAGTTGTATACTTAGCTTTACAGCAATTGTATTGGGTAACAAATCCTACTTTCTTCAAAGTTAAAACAATGTGTTGACTAGGAAATTGCTTCGAGCATCTTATTCATGAGGAGATTTAGGAAAGGAAAGAGAAGGGCTCCAGAACAATTAAAGTCTTCATTTTATTTACCTCGATCTGCTTACCTTACTTTGCTCAAAGTTTTCAGCAAAGGTAGTCTGCTATTTGCACTTTTATTCTCACATGTTTGAGGTGATCAAGATTGTATCTGCATGTACCTGCATGTACATTAATTACCTGTGACAATGATATCGTAAAGCACACACAGCAAAGTCAAAATAATCAACAATTATTTGCGAGTTACAATGTCAACTGATACATGTAGAGCAGATTAGTGCCTTAGTGGAGTCCAGATTTAGCAGAGAATGAAACTCAGCAAATTGGTGGAAATATTTAAGCTTGACCTTGGAAAACTTTATAGATTTCTCTTAATAGGTTGAAACATTAATTAAATCTAATTCTATCTATTTTCTGGATGTTGATTACTTGATTCCCTGTCTGTACTGAAATATAAATTCTCCCTAAGCATTCGTAGTATTTCAAAAATCAAGTTTGGTTTAATGTGACCTGTATTAATTAGATTAGATATGTTCTGATGTTAGTTAGGGAAGGGTTAAATATACGTTTCTGTCAAAATGACATCTTTTAGAAAAAGACGTCGGATATTCATTTCAATGCGTGGGCCTTATATGCGTCATTGTGCGTCAGTAATGACGTCTTTAAATATGATGGCGTCACTATGTCTTTGACCTGGGCCAATAAGATGCGTTTGATATTCAATTAACCATGCAGGTAGCGGTAGTGGAAGTCAAATCTGAGCTTCTAAAATTATTTTCAGATAATTTTCATAACTTAAAATTCTGTGTTGTTTTTGAAGTACAGACTGTATAGTCATGTTACCGTAACGCACAGGCATAAACATTTCACATAAGAACTGGGAGACGGTTGTAATTAAGAACATTACTTTGAAGTTGTAGTCAAGTAGCCCTCGAAGCAGCGTAGACCTAGGCCTTTATTCAGCTGGCTTTGGCAGGTTTGACGGTCAATTTCGGGCTAGCATTTGTTAAGTACCCCAAATCGCCTAGTTCCCGCCTAGTTCCCAGTCTTCTCATGTGAAAAAGCGCAGAATATTAAAAAAATAATAAAAATAGAATGCCTAGGTCTAGGCTGGTAGACTAGTCAAGTTTATTCAGGGTTTGTTTTGAAATTAAAATTTTTCAATGTTTTTTTACTATTTTTCGTTTCTGCGTTTTCAAGCGTATGTTTCGGGAAAAAAGACGTCTTGCCTATACTGGCTATAGGCATATAGGTCTCAGAGGTCATATAGGTGGCTTTCACCAAGTCGTATACACGTTTTGACGCTTTATGTTTTATGGAAGCGAGCAAATTTCGCCAAATTGCATACATTCGCCACCAAACACAAGGTGAATACATATAATGAACAATTTACTCACTCTGGTAACTGTGTTCCCTTTTGGAGTTGACCACCAAGCGCTAAACGTACTACGTGACTGAAACCCAGCTATGGACGCTTTTTTGGCGGAAACGTATTTTTGACCCTTCACTAATAAAGTTAACGGCAGAATGTTAAAATTATCATCCCAATGTTCAAGTGCTGATCATTGACATTGATTTTCATAGAGGAAAGCAAGTGTATACTGCCTAATCTAAACAGAGCAGGAAACTAACCCAATTATTATTCCCAAAACCACTTCGCTGTCTGATGTTAGTAAAAAGAAAGTTTGAACAAGAAGTGTAATTTTTGTGTATTTTGCATTTCAGTTCAATACTGCGTTAAGAGGATTTCTAACCACAGTGTGTATCAGTATGGCATCCTTTGGAGATGGTTATGCTAAGCACGATGGTTCCTTCACTGTAGCTGCTGTGTCGCTATTGAATGGTCCTAAATATTTGATTAATCCTGACCTCAGGGCAAAACGACTGATTTCACTCAGTACTCTTGTTGATATGGAGTTTTGTAAAGCATTTTGGTCCCTGACAGAACGTTATGGTTTTCAGGTAGATTTGATAACTATCACAGTATAATTCCAAATTACAGCAAAAAACGTTATTACAAATTATAGTATAGTTAAAATTTAAACCTTTGCTTAGTATAATTGACAAACCTAGAATAGCTCTCGAATGCCAGCAACAGTTGACGCGTTGGATCGTAGAAGTAAGAAATTTCAGGAAAATATGCTGTTTATAAATTTAAGCTTAAACGACGCATAGTTAAACGCGGTGCTAAACTGGCTTCGTATAGAACGCCAGTTAACTGGTTAGTTAGAAACCTGGGACCAGTTGTACGAAAGGCGAATAGCGCTATCACCGGATAGTGATTTTTTCAAGCTTTCTTAAATTGGCCGTTGATTGGTATAAACTCACATTATTATATAGCAAGTATTACTTCCGGTGAAATGGCGGACTGTGATTGGCTGAGAAGCACTTTCAGCGGTCCATTATTTTCCCTACGTAAAAACAAACGCATGCATTTTAAAACAAAATAGCAAAACTGATTGAAAATATGAAAATTATAATTTAATTTGTTATTAATATGGTATCTGCGAATGGTTTTTAGTGGAAAAGAAGGAATACATTGCTATTTTTTGTTTTCTTCGACCAAATGTGTACCACGCTATAATATGCATTTCAAATCATGCATTTCTTGTTTGTTTCACGTATAAATGCCTATAAATGAACTTGTTATTAACCTCGCTTGCTCGGTATGTACATATACAGAGAAATATCGGACCTCGGACGTTTTGTGCAAACCTCGCCATACGGGCTCGGTCTGTACAAAAAAGACTTCGGTCCGATATTTCTCTGTACTGTCGGAGACTGTCCATCATTATATTATTATATAGCATATTATTAATTTTAGTTAGTTATATATATTCCGATTTTAGGTTAATCAAACTTTTATATTGAACATTACTTTATACATAAATTTTATATTAGTTAAATTTAGAATACTATACCAGGTTGGTCAAGGTGGCAAGTTGTACCAAAGGGTACCAGCACTTTGAGAACTTGTATACCAAGGGGTAGTAGCACACTGGCAACTTGTACAAAGTTCGGGTCAATGCGTGCCTGTTACGAAAGGCAATACAAAATATCTGCATGCACATGAGACATAATTTGGTGTTGAGACAAACTTCCTCGAGAGCTTGACTTTGTGATATTGCGAGCGAAGATAATCTAAGTGAACCTTTAATTTTTTAACTTTTGTTTTATTTGTTCTAATATATATATATATATATATATATATATATATATATATATATATATATATATATATATATATATATATAT